TCAACCCTATAATCTTAATCTTGGTACTTTGTGACACTGAAGTGGGAAAACTGCTTGAGGCCAGGAACTTAAGACCAGCCTGGGCAACACAGTGAGACCTTGTCTCTATGTCTTATAATAATAAAGAAATGAATTAAGAGAAAGCAAAAGGAAAAGAAAAAGTTCTTAGCTCACAAGCTAGTTACAAAATGGCAATGATGGGAAAGTTTTCACGTTGGCAATTTCTGAGAAGTACTTTAAATCCTACTATTTAAACTTCATATACAAATAACTATTTTAGAAAATACAATGTTGCAAATGCAGGAGGGCTGAGCATGATTACTAGCTCTTAATCCATTAAGAGGCAAGGTGGAATGAAAAGCTCAGTACTAAGGTATTACAAATACCTGGCCTCTCTTCTTAGATTTGAAATATGTTGTATCCAGAAAAAATGATTTCTGGAAGGTTATATCCACTTAGATCAGCTAATTTCTGTCATCAGTTTTTTGTGGTTGCACACATCAAAAATTCAGGAATATGATAGGTCAATGTCAATATTTCCTAGACATTGCATTGTTCTGAACATTACATATAATAAAATGTCACTGCATTTGGGAGCTTAATATTTAAGTTGGACACACTAATGTAATAGACACAAGGCACACAGAAATAGATTTCTCTAAAAACATGGGCATTTAAAAAAAAAAAAACCGTATACAGGTAAGAAACCTAAGTACAGAAGAAAGAGGAACATGCCCACCTGAGTTAACATTCAACCATCAAGGAAGGTATATACCATCTTCAGCTAGAGATAAGAGAACACCAACAATTCTCTGCAGCAAAAACCAACATAATATGTAAGACTAGTTCTAATTCTGAGGTATGTAGATTTCAAAGGGTTTGTGAATCTCCTGAATACTGCATGCAAAATTGTCTTATGCGCAGATATATTTTTTTCGGAGGCACGCATGGGTCTATAGCTTTCAACAAATTTTGAAGATTAAGTAATTCTCAAACTTTAAAGAGCCACAGATTTAAGGCATTATAAAACCAATTCCAAATGTTTATTTTAAAAACAAAAAAAAAAGCCAGGCGTGGTGGCTCAAGCCTGTAATCCCACCACTTTGGGAGTCCGAGGCGGGTGGATCACGAGGTCAAGAGATCAAGACCATCCTGGTCAACATGGTGAAACCCTGTCTCTACTAAAAATACAAAAAATTAGCTGGGCATGGTGGCGCGTGCCTGTAATCCCAGCTACTCAGGAGGCTGAGGCAGGAGAATTGCCTGAACCCAGGAGGCGGAGGTTGCGGTGAGCCGAGATCGCGCCATTGCACTCCAGCCTGGGTAACAAGAGCGAAACTCCGTCCCCCCCCAAAAAAAAAAAAAAAAAAATCGGGCTGGGTGCGATGGCTCATGCCTGTAATCCCAGCACTTTGGGAGGCCAAGGCATATGGATCATTTAATGCCAGGAGTTCCAGACCAGCCTGGCCAACATGGCAAAACCCTGTCTCTACTGAAAACATAAAAATTAGCCAGGCATGGTGGCATATGCCTATAACTGCTTGAACCCCAGAGACAGAGGGTGCAGTGTATCAAGATCTCACAACTGCACTCCAGCTTGGGTGACACAGCAAGACTTTGTATCAAAAAAAAAATAATAATAATAAGCCAGTGTTGCACATGGAAAAAAAAAAAAAAAAAAACAGATGGCCAGGCCCCGTGGGAGGCTGAGGTGGGCAGATCACGAAGTCAGGGGTTTGAGACCATCCTGGCCAACACGGTGAAACCATCTCTACTAAAATGCAAAAAATTAGCTGGGCATGGTGGCGCATGCTTGTCGTCCCAGCTACTTAGGAGGCTGAGGCAGGGGAATCACTTGAACGTGGGAATCACAGAATTGCAGTGAGCCGAGATTGTGCCACTGCACTCGAGTCTGGCAACAGAGTAAGACTTAATCTAAAAAAAAAAAAAAAAAAAAAAAGAGGCCAGGTGAGGTGGCTCACGCCTGTAATCCCAGCACTTTGGGAGACTCAGGTGGGCAGATCATCTGAAGTTTTGAGTTTGAGACCAGCCTGACCAATATGGAGAAACTCCATCTCCATTAAAAATACAAAATTAGCCAGGTGTGGTGGTGCATGTCTGTAATCCTAGCTACTCGGGAGGCTAAGGCAGAAGAATCACTTGAACCCGGGAGGCAGAGGTTGTGGCTCACCGAGATCACGCCATTCCAGCCTGGGCAAAAAGAGCAACACTCCATCTCAAAAAAAAAAAGAAGGCCAAGGTGGGTGGATCATGAGGTCAAGAGATCAAGACCATCCTAGCCAACACGGTAAAAACCCTGTCTCTACTAAAAATACAAAAATTAGCTGGGTGTGGTGGTGCATGCCTGTAGTCCCAGCTACTTGGGAGGCTGAGGCAGGAGAATCACTTGAACCCGGGAGGCAGAGGTTGCAGTGAGCCGAGATCGCACCACTGCACTCCAGCCTGGTCAACAGAACGAGACTCCGTCTCAAAAAAAAAAAAAGTAAATTATGCAATAATGTGGTACAGAAAGGTAAGACCAAAGAATATCTTTCTTATTACGATAAATTTCTGACGCTGGTCCCAGAATAATAAAATCTTGACATTTTTCATATCAAATGCTTACATACCATGATTTTGCCTCTTTCATATGTGGCACATCTTTATGTCCATTATATTTTATCCAGAGAACTAAATGATCTGCAGCCTCTAGCTTGACATACTCTACATCATCAGGATCAGAGTATAAAATAATTCCTTAAGTCACAAGCTTCCCTGGGCAGTTCTGCTACTACCCTTCTGCACAATACATTAAAGGCATATCATACAACCAACTGTTCAGCGCAAAAGCAAAGTTTACATATTACATCTTTTTTTTTTTTTTTTTTTTGAGAGAGTCTCACTCTGTCACCCAGGCTATAGTGCAGTGGCATGATCTTGGCTCACTGTAACCTCTGCCTCCCGAGCCTCCCAAGTAGCTGGGATTACAGGTGCCCACCACCACACCCAGCTAATTTTTGTATTTTTAGTAGAGATGGGATTTCACCACATTGGCCAGGCTGGTCTTGAATTCCTGACCTCAGATGATCCACCTGCGTTGGCTTCCCAAAGTGCTGTATTACAGGCGCGTGTCACTGCACCCAGCCAAAACATAAAACTTAGGCAAAATTATTTGCTCTGGGGCATATAACTTAATTCCACATTCATAATATTCAATTTAAAAAAGGACCTCATTCTTAGCCAAATTCTTAGACCTGGAATCTAGGACTATCATAATCTAACATTATCACAAAAGCAAGTTTATATTGTCCTAATTTTACTCAAATCTAAGAAAAAAAATTAACCTTCAAGTACATAGTGTTAAAACACTTCATACAGATTATATCACTAATTTTTTTCAGATAAAATAAAAATAGATTAAATTTTTTATCATTTCTCAACACATCAGTAACCAAACAGAAAATGAAAATAAATAAATAAATAAAATAAAAGCTGGGCAACATAATGAGACCTTATCTCTACAAAAAATTAAAAAATTAGCCAGGCATGATGGCACACACCTGTAGTTCCAGCTACAGGTATTGATCGACTTACCACCTATGCGACTTACGACCATTCGACTTTACAACCACAATCGCTAGCCACGACTGCTCCGCGTCTGGCAGCGCAAATGTTGCCCAGCTGGGCGTACGACAGTGCGGACCAGCTTCCGGCAGCACTACCATCTCCGCGTGCACCATTTCAACTGTACATATAGCCTACTCAACTTACGACCAAATCGTGTTACGACCGGTCCACAGTCCTGACCGTGGTCGTAAGTTGAGCACTAGCTGGGCTAAGGTGCAAGGATTGTGTGAGCCCAGGAGTTCAAGGCTGCAGTGAGCCATAACTACACCTGTGAATAACCTCTGACAGCTACTGTACTCCAGCCAGGGCAACATTAAAAAAAAAGACAAGGAACCAGTAATTAGGATATACAAGGAACTGTTATAAATAAAAAAATAAATGATTTTACCATTTTTCCATGGAAAAATGGGCAAAGATTATAAATAAGCAAACCACAGAAGCCAAAACTCAGCTGGCTTACAAGTGTATGAAGAGATCTTCAATCTCAATTAGTAATCAGAGAAATGTCAATTAAAGCAAAACTGGCCAGGTGTGGTGGTTCACACCTGTAATCCCAGCAATTTGGGAGGCTAAGGCAGGTGGATCAGGAGGTCAGGAAATCAAGGTCATCCTGGCTAACATGGTGAAACCCCATCTCTTCTAAAAATACAAAATATTAGCCAGGTATGGTGGCATGTGCCTGTAGTCCAGCAACTCAGGAGGCTGACGCGAGAGAATCACTTGAACCCAGGAAGCAGAGACTGCAGTCAGCCAAGATCGCACCACTGCACACCAGCTTGGGCAACAGAGCTAGACTCTGTCTGGGGAAAAAAAAAAAGATATACACATATCTAAGATATATCAAATACATCAATGGGTGCAAGAGAGTGAGTGGGGTGCAGAGGGAGCAGGGAAATCACTACGAAGGGTAAAAGTAGTAAAATACAATTAAGAAGGGTCTTGTGAAGCCCATATGTAATCATGTGCAAAGAAGTGATTGGAAATTTTGAGTCACTCAGCTCCCTATACCTGATGTCCCCCTTTAAAAATCTTACCCTTCTTATAGATGAAGAAACCAAGACACTAAGTTACAATAATATAAATTAAGTTACCAATGACAAAGTACTCAGTCAGCCTTCTGCTTTCTACTGATAACACTAACCTGCCCTAGTTATATCTAAAGATAAATTTACTTTCATACAGATTTCACAGCTTCTCAACAGCAATATACCTGAAAAGATAAGAAAATTTGTATATCCTTCCATGTGAGTCTTTGTGATTCATTCAGGCTGTAGTTTAAGTTTCCTTTCAATTATTCCAAGGAGAATCAGCATGACCAAGCAAAGCAGGTTCCAAAGGCAGAAAGCAGAAGCAATACGATGCTATGGAAGTACCTTTCTGAATAGTCTCTTCTGCCGTTGCAGGGCCTTGGGGCAACCCTTCAATGTAAGTGCTTGGCAACAAGTCTGCTGAGATAGGCTGACCTTGTAGCTTTTGTAGTCTCTCTTGTACGGCACTGGTCAGATCTACATAAGCCTCATCAATACTGGCACGTTCAATCACAGCAAAACGAGACATTATCTCCATCACTTCAACACTGGCTTCCCGGTACCTAAGTAGTACACGGATCATTTACGCAGGTAATAAAGACAGCCAACCTTGAGATTGTCTGCTCCACTCCCCCACTGCCACAATGAACAATAATACACATAAATCAAGAGATGTGACTTAACAGAGACTAGATAGTAGTAACAACTGAAAGGGTCAACAGGCAGGCAGATGGTCAATAACAGAAGCATGGAAAAGGAAGAACCACAGAGCCAAACATTTTTAACAAAATGCCAGAATTACCAACGCAAAAAAAGCATTCAGGCCATTAACATATCTATATGATAAGGAACTCTCTAAAAAGTAAAGAAATGCGCCGGGCGCGGTGGCTCACGCTTGTAATCCCAGCACTTTGGGAGGCCGAGGCGGGTGGATCGCGAGGTCAAGAGATCGAGACCATCCTGGTCAACATGGTGAAACCCCGTCTCTACTAAAAATACAAAAAAATTAGCTGGGCATGGTGGCGCACGCCTGTAGTCCCAGCTACTCGGGAGGCTGAGGCAGGAGAATTGCTTGAACCCAGGAGGCGGAGGTTGCAGTGAGCCGAGATCGTGCCATTGCACTCCAGCCTGGGTAACAAGAGCGAAACTCCGTCTCAAAAAAATAAATAAATAAATAAATAAAAAAGTAAAGAAATGCCTTAAATTGGTGTATTACTGTGATCACTTATTCCTTTTATTTTCATATATTCACCAAGAAGTCTTCTGCTTCTAATTCTGTCTTAAAAAAAAAAAAAAAAAAAAAGGGAATTTACACACAACACTACACTGATCAGTGAACCAAAAGTATCTGGTCTTCCTCAGGATAGTATTTTCTTACTGTAAATTAACAAAGTGACATATGGATTTTATACTTCAGTCAATGGCGAGTTTGGTTAACATGTGAACTGGTCATCACCACATACACATACATACCTTAACCAACCATTTATAGATATACTAATATTCAAATTATCAAGTTGAAGATAAGCACCTAGAATGTGGTGATATGTCTGGGCAGGCAGACAACCTTCCTCAGGGTACAGATACTAATCTTACCATATGTTTTCTATTCAAACCTTAATAAGCAGCTCTTCTGGCTGTATAGCTCGTCTTCTATGACAATATGCAGCTATTTTCTTTGCTTTAGTTTGGACCTGCTTTGTAGTGTCCAGTTCTTTGTTCCTACTGAATTTATATTTACCATAAAAATGAAAACATTGGTACCTCTTCATCATGACACCCATAAAAACTAGTATAATTACTGTTCTAAAACATTCTCAAATTAGAGAAATACTTCACTTTTTTTTTTTAATCTTTATTTAATCTTTATTTAAATCTTTATTTTTTAAATCTTTATTTTAATCTTTATTTTAATCTTTATTAAAAGGATAGGCCTCAAAGAAAATAAAGAGCAAGGCCAGGTGTGGTCGCTCATGCCTGTAATCCTAGCACTTTGGGAGGCTGAGGCAGGTGAATCACTCCCAAGGTCAGGAGTTCGAGACCAGCCTGACCATCATGGAGAAACCCCTCCATAAGGGAGTAAGGCCAAAAGTCCCAACTCTCTAAATATGCCTTGGTCTTTTTGGTGACCTACCCCATCCTGAAGCTGTTAGTCAACACCTCAGCTTCCTGAGTAGCTGGGACTAGAGGTGTATAACACCATGTCTGGCTATTTTTTTTTTTTTTAATTTTGGTAGAGACAAGGTCTTACTACATTGCTTACTCAAATTCCTGAGCTCTACTAAAATACAAAATTAGCCAGGCGTGGTGGTGCATGCCTGTAATCCCAGCTACTTGGGAGGCAGAGGCAGGAGAATTCCTTGAACCCAGGAGGTGGAGGTTGGGGTGGGCCGAGATCGCTCCATTGCACTCCAGCCAGGCAACAAGAGCAAAACTCCATCTCAAAACAAACAAACAAACAAAAAAAAACCAAGAAAGAAACAGCAATATACTCACACACAGCCAGAAAGGGATACTTCTAACATTGTGAAATATATATTGGGTCTCCATCCCGGTTTCCTGACACATAACTCCAAAAATCCTTGGAATCACCTTGGCGTCCCAAAGTGTAGGAATTGTCTGGGGTCTGTGCCTACCTCTGACTTAGCTATGCTGATACATTTCCCCCATTCCAAGGCTAAACTTCTAATATTTGCAGAGTGATAGCTTAATCTAAAAACAAAGATAAGTAATCTCCCTTGAGATTGTTCAATTATGGCAACTAATTCCTGATGTTGTACTAGAACATCAGTTTAACTCAGCCTTTCCTGGAAAAACTCTGTTTTACAGTCAACTTAGTAACTTCAAATACTTTAGACTTTTGGACATGGAGAACATGGGAATTGGTACTAAATCTTAATCTAACAATCAATTTTGAACAATTAAGGAACTGAATAGATGTCAAAGGCAGCAACTCTTATGTTACAATGGTTTTGAACTGTCCCCGAGACATAAATCAAAATCTGTTTTTTATTTCACAGAGACAAGTTGGCTGACCAAAAAGAATTTTTTCCAGATGTTATTTACAGAGTTAAATTCAAAACACCAGTTCCTAGCCTCATGAAGTATTATTTTCGACTCCTTTATGTCTCCATAAACAATGTTTTTCCTTACTTGGTGAGGTTAGCTTTCCCACGGGACTCACGAACTTGTGCCAGTAGAAGATCTGGACATAACTTCTTAGCATCATCTGCCCACATACTTCTAGTGACTCCAAATGCACGAGCTTCATAACTCACTGCAATTATTCTAAGGTTAGAAAAAAGAGAAAACAGAAAACATATTATATGATCACAAGCAAACACAAGTAAAATTTAACACAGGTAAGCTATAAACATATCAGAAACTTTCTGACCACAGATGCCACCATTCAATCCCAAACAAAGCAGTTCAGAAATCTCAAAAATAGGGCCAGGCACAGTGGCTCATGCCAGCAATTCCTACACTTTGGGAGGCCAAGGCAGAAGGGCTACTTGAGGCCAGGAGTTCAAGACCTGCCTGGGTAATATAGTGAGCCCTGCCCTCAACCAACCCCCATCTTTACGACCCCCGCAAAAAATAAAATCAGCTTGGCATGGTGGGATGCTCTTGTAGTTCTAGCTACTTGGGAGGCTGAAGTGTGAGGATTACTTGAGCCTAAGTCAAAGCTGCTGTGAGCTGATGGTGCCACTGCTCTCTGGATGGGTCAACAGAGAAAGATACTGTCTCAACAACAACAACAAAGCACCTACCACAGTGCCACTGTGTTATCATTGAATAATAGTTGTAACAATAACAATGATACATACCCACCACCCTTCCATGATTTGTACTGTACAACTGCACAAGGTTTATTCCTCAAATGAGGATTTTGCCGCTGCTCCACTTGAACAAAAAAACAGTCCATGTCCACGAGAGCAACCACTCGATCCTGTCCAGTAGCCATTTTTCTGTAACACAACATGTTATGGACAGTTAGCAAATGCCAAGGAAAACTGTAATTCCCTTCTTTCACTGATGAGTTACCATGAGCATGAGAGAATGGAAACCAACAAGAATGAAACAGGCATTTAAATATACAGATTAAGTATCCCTTAACTGAAATGCTTGGGATCCAAAGTGCTTAAGATTTTGAATTTTTTCAAATTTTACAATATTTGCATTATAATCACCAGTTAAGCACCCATAATCAAAAAATCCTAAACCTACAATGCTCTAATAAACATTTCCTTTGAATGCTGTGTTGGTGCAAAAAAATTTTTGGAATTTGAAGCATTTCAAATTTCAGATTAGGGATACCTGAGTGGAAAAAACACAGTTTTTAAAATTCTTTCACTCAACAACAATCAAAAAGGTAGACTTCTGTGACCAAATGTGTGGGGATTTCTCCCCACTAACAAAGCAATAAATTCTGCAGCCGACACCAAGTGGGTATCCTCCAATTTGAGTCTGACATTATCTACCTGGAGAGTCAGTTCTCATAGGTTGATGGCTCAGTGCCACAAGACTGCCCCTATTTCTGATGTCAATCACAAGCCACAGGTTGTTACTGACTGGCTATAAATTGGGGCTCTCATGACCCTCTCTTTGGGTTTGGTTACTTTGCCAGAGTGGCTCACAGAACTCAGGAAATCACATTTACTAGTTTATTATAAAGGATATACAGATGAAGAGATACAAAGGGCAAGGCATGTCCTCCCTGGGAACACCACTCTCCAGGAACCTCCTTTTGTTCCTATCCAGAAGCTCTTCAAACCCTGTCCTCTTGGCCCTTTTATGAAAACTTCATTGGCTAGGCATGACTGACACCCATGTAGAAATGGTGACTAAAGGTAGGATCTAATACTAATACACAGCCAAAGACTGTCTGCTCAGATTCTTCCTGGCCTCTCTGGGTAGCATTCCTTCTTCCAGGGTATGGGGTAGGAACTCTTCTGAAATGAAAATCTTATGACCCATAAGCAGAAAGACTGGAAGATTAGAGTCCTGCTTTGGGCAAATCAAAGGAGGGCAGGAGAAGGTCAGAGACAGAGATTCTGTTTTCTGAGGCTTGCTTCAAGAGCCCCAACATTATAACAAAAGCTAGGGGAGTTATGAGCCAGGAACCATGGACAAAAACTAACATACATATATCATAAGATCACAGGTACTGAACCTGTACTGCTGGCATAGGAATAAATTAGACAATTTTATGAGGGTAATACGTATTAAAAAGCTTTAAAAATACTCTCAAAAGAACTGACCACAGAAGGTACAAAAATAGCCAACTGGCACATAAAAATAGGCTGACCATCATTAGTCATGGGGAAATGGAAATTAAAATCACAATCTATATTACCAAGGGAAGAGAACCAATATTAAATCTAGTTGATAGACAAATCTCACGTATAAATTCAGGGAAAAGAGAAGCAGGAAATGATATATAACATCATAGCTTTCATGAAAAATGTCAACTTTTTACCCTGAAATACTTTTAGACTTACAGAAAATTGCAAAAAATGGCAGAGTTCTCCTACTCCGTTTCCTAATGTTAACATTTTACATAACACAATTATCAAAACTGAAAAATGAACATTGGTATATTATTAACTATATGCTCTACTCTCCTCCAATCTGTTGACAATTCCTTGGTTGTTCCTTGTTTTGCATGACCATGACACTTAAAGAGTATTGGTCAGCTATTTTGAGAATGTCTCTTAATTTGAGTTTGTGGGCCGGGCATAGTGGCTCACACCACAAATCACAAGATCAGGAGTTCAAGACCAGCCTGGGCAACACAGTGAAACCCCGTCTCTACTAAAATACAAAAAATTAGCTGGGTGTGGTGGTGGGCACCTGTAATCCCAGCTACTCAGGAGGCTGAGGCAGGAGAATCGCTTGAACCTGGAAGGCAGAGTTTGCAGTGAGATGAGATTGTACCACTGCAGTCTAGCCTCAAAAATAATAATAATAATAATAATTTGGGTTTCTCTGATGTTTTCTCATGATTAAGATTATGCATTTTTGGCAAGAATATAATGGCATTGATGTGCTCTCCTCAGTGCATCACATGGGGTGGGGGGAATAGATGCTGTCAGTATATCTTATTAACCATGATCAATTAAATGTTTTTTGCCACATTTCTCTTTATAAGGTTACTATTTTTCCTTTTGTAACTTAAAAATATCAAAGATACTTGATATCAAAGATACTTTATGACTGCAAACATCCTGCTTCTCTTCAACCTTTCAATCACTAAGCACCCATCAGTGGCTAGTGCCTAACACTTTGTAGCATTCTGTGATTTTCTACCCACCCATGTAAATTTCTCAAACACAAAAGAAAACTCACTCTAACAGATAAACATACATGAAGTTATGAACGGTAACTTGGAAGAACAAACCCTACATGCTTGCGAGTGGATGCCAATAATTTAACATTTTTAGTAATCTGGAAGAAGAAACATAAAGCAGTGGCTCCCAAAATTTGCTATATATTAAAATCATCTGGAAACCTTTACTTTTTATTTATTTATTTTTTTTTGAGACAGAGTTTCACTCTTGTTACCCAGGCTGGAGTGCAATGGCACGATCTTGGCTCACCGCAGCCTCCGCCTCCTGGGTTCAGGCAATTCTCCTGCCTCAACCTCCTGAGTAGCTGGGATTACAGGCACGCGCCACCATGCCCAGCTAATGTTTTGTATTTTTAGTAGAGACGGGGTTTCACCGTGTTGACCAGGATGGTCTCGATCTCTTGACCTCGTGATCCACCCGCCTCGGCCTCCCAAAGTGCTGGGATTACAGGCTTGAGCCACCGCGCCCAGCTACTTTTTATTTTTTTAAAGACAGAGTCTCACTATTGCCCAGGCTGGAGTACAGTGGTGCATTCTCAGCTCACTGCAACCTCTGCCTCCCAGGTTCAAGCAATTCTCCTGCCTCAGCCTCCCTAGTAGCTGGGATTACATGCAGGCACACCACCCTGCCCAGCTAACATTTTTGTATTTTTAGTAGAGACAAGGTTTTGCCATGTTGGCCAGGCTGCTTTAAATACTATTGATATCTGACTGCCACAACTATATACACTAATTTAATCGGTATGAGTATGACCTGGGCATGGGGATTTTAAAAAGCTCTTAAGGTGATTCCCATGTGCAGCAGTTTGGGAGCCAAGACCTATATAATAGAAACATCAGCAATCCATGATTCAAATAAGAGAAACACAGGTTATACAGTTGAGTGAGCACCCAACTGTATTCTAAAAAAAGCTTTTCAAAAATTAACATTCATCTTGAAAAAAACATGTCCAAAAAAAAAAAAAAAAAAAAAACATGTTTTATAACTGCAAAGCAGGAGGATGAGTGAAAAAAAAAAAAAAAAAGAAAATCAGAGTAGTCCAGCATTAATTCCCTATAAATTCCAATCAACCACTTGCCTAAAACAAGCAGAATGTGATACTTAAAACATTTACAAGTTAAAAATCATAACATGCCAGAAATCCCTTTACGTTGAAGTGGCTTTTCTGTAGTACTGGAACAGATGAAGCCAACAAATAGGAAATGCATTGTCACAAAACAAAACAAAAACAACCCACTGGCTAAGCACCATATTAGATCCAAATACCAGAAGTGGGGCAGGAATAGGAAGCAGTGATTTATGTTCAGAAAACATTTTACTAAGCACACAATCACAAAAACAGATCTGCAGACTTTAACAGATAATAAAGCTGTTGAGGTTTTCAGTTTATGTATTTACTCAAGAAAGAGCTCTGTTTATTTTTGAGACGGAGTTTCGGTCTGTCGCCCGGGCTGGAGTAAAATGGCGCGATCTCTGCTCACAGCAACCTCCGACTCCCGGGTTCAAGCAATTCTCCTGCCTCAGCCTTCCGAGTGGCTGGGACTACAGAGGCCCACCACCACGCCCGGGTACTTTTTGTATTTTTGGTAGAGACGGGGTTTCTCCATGTTGGCTAGGCTGGTCATGAAATCCTGACTTCAGGTGATCCGCCCATCTTGGCTTCCCAAAGTGCTGGGATTACAGGCGTGAGCCAGCGCGCCCGGCCAAGAGTTTTACAAAGATGGAAAATGAAACACACTTTCTGCCCAAACCATGTTTTTGGATAAGTATTACACTACTTTGAAATCCTTATATATAGCACTTGGTCAGTTATGAAAACCGCACAAACCTTCACTAATTGCAATTATTCCTCTTTAAACATCTCGATTTACTTCAATCCGCACAAAACAAATTTGGTCCCCACCAGGCAATAATACAGGCAGAGGTTTAAGAACTACAGGGAAAAACATATACATATATATATATATATTTTTTTTTTTTTACAAGAAAAATCTTAGAGGACAGTACCAGGGTCTTATCCCTGTTAGCATGATTTCTATTTCACATCACGTCGGCCCAGTCACCGCTACATCATAATAAAACCAATAGCCAAGGCAACAAAGAAAGTCTGAAACACAGTGACAGTGAACAAATTCCATTTCTTACCAAGGTAACGAACACCTGGCAAAACTGCCGACACTGGGTGCCGCAAATGCTGGGGTCGGTGTCCACTGGAAGGAAAATGGAAGGGCTTTTGAATATCTTTTCGCCTTTCTGGGAGCGGGCCAGTGAGTTTCGAGCGAGATTTATTTCCCGTGACGACGGAGAAGCCGAGAAGGGGTCGTAAAGGATCCTGCCCGGGCAACCGCCCCCACAGCCCAACAGGAATCAGCCATAGATGGCGCGCCCAGCAACGAAGCAGCCAGACTGAGGTAGGACAGCGAGCTCACTGCAAAGGGCCGTTGACGCGGCTGCGCACTGCGGCCCTTCCGCCTCCCGCCCCGCCCACCCAGGCGCAACCGTCACAGGGGAGCCGCCACTTCCGCGGGCGCGTGCGCAGTGGCGGGCCGGGCGCGTGCGCAGCGCCGGCTTCCCAGCGCTAGCTGCTACTCCTGCTCCTCCTCCAGCCTTCCACCCCGCGCTGTCCCCCGCGGCCCGGTACCAACGGGTGGTCCCGCCGAGGGAGCCGTCGTGCCTCGTGGTCCCGGGACTGCAGTGGTGTAGCGCTCTCAGCGCGTGGCGCTAGGCATGGCGATGGATCAAGTGAACGCGCTGTGCGAGCAGCTGGTGAAAGCGGTGACGGTCATGATGGACCCCAGCTCCACCCAGCGCTACCGTCTGGAAGCCCTCAAGGTAGCTGGGGTCCTGGCGCCCTGGGCCGGTCTCGACACCCTCTGCCAGCCCCAGCAGCTCCGCGCCGCCTGTAACTGGGGTAGTGTCCCGCCCACGCGGCCCCTAGACCTCCTTTCCCAACTCCCCGGGACCTTCCCCTTGCGGCCCTCCGCTCCTCTCCCAAACCCCCGCCTTCTCCACCCGCCGCTCCTGCACTTTGCCTGGGACACTCCGGGTCTCTAACTGCTGCTTCTCATCTCGCCGCCGCTACCCACAGCCCTCCTCCTCCCCCTTTCCTCGCTTCTGTGCAGTTGTCCGCACCACGACCCTCGCCCATTTTCATTCCCCAAACCCCACATCCCCTCGCCTTCGCGAGGCGCACGTGCAGATCCCGCCCCCAACACCAGCTTCATTCTTTATGGTCTCCCCTGCTCTAAACGTTTTCCTGCTGGCCCACTCCCCTGACCCAAACTGACCGAGCCCCCAGCCTCTCTAGTGCCCTTATGCCTATATCCTTTAGCATCTCTCGCTAACTTTCGTTTGTGTCTTGGGCATTTTCTGGGGTAATTCTCACACCTCCATTTCTTCCATGTTTCTGAGTGTGATATTATTAGGCTATTTTGCGCAAAGATGAACTTCTACCACTTTGCATTTTAACAAGGGCACTTTGGTTTCCTGAAAGTAGTTTGTTTGAGACCCGAATGCTCTGTTCTTGGGACTGACTCGTGTTGCAGTTCTGGGGTGCTAATACAGTCCAAGCTTACTTGCCCATAAAACAATGTATGTGGACTGTGAGAAATGGCCGTTTAGGAGAATATACCTGTGCTTGTGCTCTACATTTTAAAAGTGATGTTAGCCTCAAAAAAGAAAGTAAACACCACTTGGAGGAAACACGTTACAACATGTAGATGTTTGCCACAGGGTTTGGAATCAAACAATTGAGTTCTATTAGTTTGATTTTTATTATTAATATTTAAAATAGACACAGAAGAGAGAATACGATAGTGATTCTGCATGTTCCTGTCACCTAAATTCAGCAATTAAAGATTTTACCACATTTGCTTTTTCCACTGCCTATCCTCTCTCCCCGCCTCAAAGGTTTTTAAAGGAAACCCTAGAAATTATTTCACCCCTATTTACATCAGGGGGATGTCTCGAACAAATGATTTCTTATTCATTTAGGTCCATTTTTTTTCCAACATTAGTAGGGCTACTGTTGACCATAGCATGGAAAAAATCTGGAACCATCACGATGAAAGGGATGTTTATCAGTTCTTTATTCACAATATATGTTAACGTGTATATACATCTCTTCATAAAATAAAGTGAACACCACTTGGAGGAAATGTTATATATGAAACGTTTTATATATTTTATATTTATGTTTTCATATTAAATATATATTTTTAAAGTAGCTGTGCTTGGAGAGCCATATAATGTTGATCTAGGTTTTGCAACTTAAACATGTAGGTTAGGTTGGAGTTTCTTTTTGAGATAGAATCTCTGGTTGCCCCGGCTGGAGTGCAATGGGAAGATCTCAGCTCACTGCAGCCTTGATGTCCCGAGCTCAGGTGATTCTCCTACCATTTGAGCCTCATGAGTGGCTAGGACTACAGGCACTTTCCACCATGCCTGGCCAATTTTTAAAAATATTTTTAGTAGGCTGGGCGCAGTGGCTCACACCTTTAATCCCAGCACTTTGTGAGGCTGAGGCGGGTGGATCATCTGAGGTCAGGAGTTCAAGACCAGCCTGGTCAACATGGTGAAACCTTGTTTCTACCCAAAATACAAAAATTAGCTGGGTGTGGTGGCGTGCACCTGTAGACCCAGCTACTCAGGAGGCTGAGGCAGGAGAATTTCTTGAACCTGGGAGACAAAGGTTGCAGTGAGCCAAGATCGTGCCACTGCACTCCAGCCTGGGTGACAGAGCAAGACGCCAAAAAAAAAAAAAAATTTTTTTTTTTTTTTGTAGAGATGGAGTTTCGCCATGTTGCCCAGGCTAGTCTCGAACTCCTGGACTCAAGCAGTCCACCATCTCAGCCTCCCGGAGTGCTGGGACAGGTGTGAGCCACCGCACCCAGCCCTGGTTGGAGTTTCTTAATATGAAATTCTTTTAGTCCCTATTCTCTCAGCCCTCCAAAAGAAACTCTAACTTCTTCTTTCAGTTTTGTGAAGAGTTTAAAGAAAAGTGTCCTATCTGTGTCCCCTGTGGCTTGAGGTTGGCTGAGAAAACACAAATTGCCATCGTCAGACATTTTGGCCTTCAGATCCTGGAACACGTTGTCAAGTAAGGAGCTCTTGGAACAGATCTTTATATCTTATGTAATCTGTAGAGATGCTGTTTAGGTGAGTAGAGAAGAGCAATCCCTAAGAAGAAAGGAATAATCCCCTAGATGTTATCAGAACCTCACAGGAGCTCTCATTCAAGATTTAACCTTTCTTCATTCATATAAAGTGTGTGGTACATGTTACCCATTCAACAAGTACTACCTGTCATTTAGCCAACACTTACTGAGCCCTGACCTTACGCCAGTAGCCTTTGAAGCCTTTTTAGAATAATGCAATGTATAGGTCAGTAAATCTCTGATTAGGCAGTAGCCTCTCTCTCTCTCTCTCTCTCTCTTTCTCTCTCTCTCTCTCTCTCTCTCTCTCTCGTTTATGTGCCTTCTCTGAGAGGCACATCCAACGCAGGATTATATGAGAATAACTGAAAACCCCTCCTAACCTGATTCTCCTACCCTCAACACCTATTAGAAGAGGCAGCCATTAAGACTTAGCCATAGTTTTTCCAGAATTATGCTATTATTTTGTAAGCCAGCACAGAAAATGAGTGATGTCAGGATTGCATTTTCTGAAAAGCAAGCACGTTGTTGCAGTTGACATAGATGTGTATTCACTTTTGGCCCATCAATAAAATGAGGAAAAGTTGATTTGTGGTACAAATCTTGTGCGGATTCCAGTTAATGGACCACTGTGTATATAAAGTCTTTTCCCAAGAATTTTTCTGTTAGTATTTTGGTTAAATGTAGACCATTTTTGACCATTTGTTGAAGGGTACAAAATCGAAAGTATAATTTCTTAGTGAAATCTCCAGAATATAATCAAATGTAGAAATTAGTGTTATTCTCTTGTAAAGAGACTTCTAATGTAATTCTATTGACTTTATGCATTTTGGTGGCCAGGTTTCGGTGGAACGGCATGTCTCGATTGGAGAAGGTCTATCTGAAGAACAGTGTCATGGAGCTGACTGCAAATGTAAGGAATGGGTGGCTGGGAGACGTGTTTCCAAGGTAGTTTAGACAAAGCGTGACTTCTTCAATATAGAGTTTGTGTAAAAATTCAGTGGTTCTAAATAGGTCAGACAGACCAAAAAATCATAATTCAGGCCAGGCAGAGTGACTCACACCTGTAATGTTAGCACTTTGGGAAGCTGAGGTAGGAGGATCACCTGCGTCTGAGAATTCGAGAGCAGCTTGGGCAACACAGTGAGACCCCATCTCTACCAAAAATATAAAAATTAGCTGAGGTGGGAGGATTGCCTGAGTCCAGGAGGTTCAGGCTGTAGTGAAGTGTTATAGTGCCATGGCAATCCAGCCTGTGCAAGACCCTATCAGGAAAAAAACCAAAACAGAAAGCGTATTTCAGCATATGTCTCTTTCTAGGTTTAATTAATCATTCTTATGTATTGACTTCTATTTTTTAAATTATAAAGACAGGGCAGAGGGCTTTAAATATTTTCAACAAATCGATAAGATTCTTAGATCTAAATTAGATTGAAACACTGTTGTATTTTCTTTTATTCTAAACAACTGCTTTGTGATACTAATGATGAAAAACATGCAGAATTTTAAGCATGCAGAATAAATTTGTTTCAAGTATTAGAATATGGCTTTTTTTTTTTTTTTTTTTTTTTTTTTTGAGACAGGGTCTCACTCCGTTGCTCAGGCTGGATTGCATTAGCATGATCACAGCTCACTGCAACCTCGAACTCCTGTGCTCAAGTGATCTTCCTGCCTTAGCCTCCCAAGTAGCTGAGATTATAGGCGTGCCCAGCTAATTTTGCTTTTGTTTTTAAAGAGACAGGGGCTTGCTATGTTTCTCAGGCTAGTCTGGTCTCAAACCCTGGGCCTCAAGCAATCCTCCCACCTTGGCTTTCCAAAATCCTGAGATTACAGGTGTGATGACTGGATGACTGTCCCTTTAAACACAAAGCAGGATATGACTTTAAACATGTTCAAAATTATAGCCTTATTTCTTTTTTTTTTTTAACTAAAAGACATGAAAGATGGAATCTGTATCTCCTAATACTTCTGTGTCTTCAAATATTAGAACTATTGGTAAAATATTTATTTGCTCCTTCATACTCTTCCGTTTTACCAGCTACTCACTATAGCCTTATTTCCATACTCTTCCTCCCTGGCCTTCTGCAAACTGAAACAACCAATATGAGAATCTTTTCATTTTGCAAAGGATAATGATTCATTCTAGCTCTATGTGACAGCCATTTTATTAGGTGATGCAACCCTCACTTAAGCTTTAAGTGAAAGAATGATTAGTGAGAATGCAGGACAGGTGACTCAGGCATGAAGAACAAGTTCGTTCTGTTTGGTTTAAAAGTAGGCCTGCTGATAAATTTTGTGTAATTCTACAGCCCAGCTTTTTTTCTGGAATCCAGTCTTGCATATCTTAAAAATCTCTTGTTCCTTTTTAGG